ATCAATCCAGATGATTAGGTTCTATTGACATGCTGAGCCGCAGTGTGTTCATTCATTAGCAAACGCTGCTAAACTGTAAATGTTTGTTATCTGTGTGTCATTCTGGGCACACTGAATCTGTGTGTGTGTGACAGACAATCCATCACCACTGTTTGTCCACCACTGCCCCGGCTGTCCACATGTTTACTGAAGACACAGAGTCTCTGCGTCCTCAAGAGAATGAAAGAGACGGACAGGTCAGCTCATCTATGGCAGGATCCCTTATTTAGCACTGCTATAAAGTCATCCACCGCTACCCAACACATAACACCGGTGTAGGAGCAACAAGGCTTTCTTCGAAAGTACTGAGGTCACTTTTGTGCAGCAGTAGCACACTGAAAACTCCCAGCATTAGGAAAAATATCATCACACACAGCTAAACTGGGAACGCTTATTTTATCACAGGTGTGTAAAACTATTTAAAAGTTTGATACAGGCTTTTTTTTAACTCAATCTGCCAACTGTTGCATTAATGTTAAAATCTTTTAGCAGCTATAATCCATTTGTACAGAAAAACTGCCAACTTTAGGACTGAGTATGGTTCATACTGGCAATGGAATTACAAAACACATGGTGCAAGGTTGACAAAAGTTGCTTCATTTTGAAATGCTTACAGGATACAGACTGTGCAGGTTTATTTAAAGTGGAATATCATCGAGGCCTGCGGCTTGTGAAAACATCACCATTCAGAAATATTCTCATATAAACACCACAACCCCGTGACGTGCCCTCTCTCTTCAGCTGACTCTTATGCCAAATCCCATTTGAAAACCTGACAATTTTTGTTACGATTGCGGGCAAAAGATATATATACCCACTGGAGACAACATTTTAAAGGTCTTCAGGGAGCAGCCAGTTGTGCTGAAGTGTTCGGCTTCCCTCATTCACCAAGCTGCACTTTGTTTTAAAAGAAATATGAACTTAGGAGGCTGATGTGCAGCACAAGCTACCGCCCACCGCGGTCTATTTTGTTGTTAAGAGCTTGAGGAAATATAAGCAGAGACGTTTTTACGATTGAGCTTTTTCCTTAAGTAAAAGCTACTTGGTTGGTGTTTTATATGCTGCAGGCCAACGTGTTGACACCAATAATGGTGTAATACAAGTATTGCGACATTATTGAAGGCAACATTAAAATGTGTATTAGTTTTAAGGTTGGTTTAACGTTCTCCCCCATACTCGACCTGTCGGGGTTCAACCAGCAGTACTATAACTTTGTTACCATTCAATCTTCACCCTCACTTTAACACTCAAAAACAAATTCCTGAAACGCCTCAGGTGTCATTAGGTATGAATTCATGATAAGTTGCCTGTAGGTGTGCCTGCGGTTCGCGTTACCGACGGACGGGACTGGTCCTGTCCACTCCTACACCGGGATACGCTAGCAAGTAACGCGGGCCTTTTTCTAGTCAACCCGAGTCAAAACGAAACCCAAATAACCTTTGAGGACTATAGTCCCAAACAACAGGGCAATATGAATGTAATATGGTTGCAAACTCACCCTCTAAAAGCCTGGAAATCAGCGAGTCGACGTCCAACTCCCCCTCCGCCATTTCTGTAACGAACAGCTCTGCCCGCCGCAGTCTGGAGCTGGCAGGGCAGGCACCGCCTCACTGCACTGAAACGCACCGCCAACCTCCTCCCACTCACGGGCCTCCCGTTTAGGACTATTATGCCGCGTTAAAGTTCCCCTCGGATACTCGAGTTCCTATCACAGAGAGGAGAAAAGCGGAGTTTATAATTAGCCATACATAAAGCACCTTAACAGGGTTTTTCAAGTGAATTTTTACAAAACTATCACTCATTAGCTTTTTCTAGAGCTTTCAACAGCATCTCTCAGTCTTCCTCTGCAGATTTCAAACTCAAACAGTGTTTCCTAAGTCAAGAATGAACCTTCAAGCTCATGTCCAAAGTAATGTCCGTGTAGCATTTTCACATTATATTTTTTCTTACCTCGGCCATTGATTTCAATTCATTTCCAAACTCAATTAGCGGACTCTTGGGACTTAGAGAGAGTAAAGTAGCTTTTGCTTAAAACCCACCACATTTTATAGTGTGTGTGTGTGTGTGTGTGTGTGTCAACCATCTCTATAACATAATGTAATATAATATTATTGTCAGGTTATTTGTAAAATTCAAAGCATCTACTTAGGTTATGATTCGTCTAACTGAAGGGATAAAAGAATTGTTTATGTTAATATGAATAAATAAAGTAAATACAATGCATAATATATTTGTGCATGGATGTTTTAATTTGTACAAAACAACATAGATGCAACCGAATGAAACGGTTCATCAAGAACTGAGGCCTTTTCCCAGCATGCCCTCAATACTCAATACACACATGTAATGGACAGTTCCCTATCCAATTCATTTTAATATTCATTTAGTTATTTTCTCAAGTTGTACCTGTGATTTCTGACAGCACCTGAAGGCATCAGTATAGCCAAGGCATTTGCAACAGGTTACTGTAATATCTTAGTAATAATAATAATAATAATAATAATAATAATAATAATAATAAATAGGGCTACTCAAAAATATGTAATAAATAAAAGCTGACATTTTTTCTTTGAGTTCTTTGAGTCACAAAATGAAAACCTGTGCAGATGTTCTTGGTGTTTATAAAGTACTTTTATGGACATTGAAGTAAACCTGAAATGAATAAAACTGTGGAAAAGACACTTACTTACTTTACTAAATATAAAGAGACCTAACTGAGGCCCACTCACTATACATTGTCACGTCGGGGATAAATGCTCAGCGCTCGTAATGAGAGGTCAGGATTTATTCACTTACAGCGCCCTCTCCTGGTTGAATTGTATGATCATTAAAGTTTTTTGATGAACAGTTTTTAGGATTGTTTTGTGAGTTTTAAAAAAGGGGGAATTATCTTCAGTTGATCAAATAAAGCAAAGAAGAAAACGTATTTTTTCTTATAAATAAGAGTTGTTTACTGTCAGAGTCCAACCCTGGAAGACTGAACCTGCAGTGTCGGTCAGTGTGTGAAGGATCTGGTACATCACACTGACTGTTTACAGAGAGTGAATCTGGGGACCAGATCTGGGTCCGGTCTAGGACTCTCTTCCAGGTTATGACTCACGCCACAAGTTATGTTATTGCCTCTCCCACTCACAACTTATTTTTCTGTTTCTTTCAAGTGCGTCATCTGGGTATTTCCGCACTGTTTTGAGTGGGTGGTGGCAAGTTGCACTGCAGAGGAACCGCGAAGGGGTGCAGCTGTGTCAAGTTAGCCAGAGGACCACACCGGAAACTGGACACTTTTCAAAATAATAGCCTAGAGTTGCTGTGAAAACATGAGAGCCTCATCATTTCATTATTACTTTAAATATTTTACCATAACTACTGTAATTTAGCATAATCATGTTTAAGTGTAGGCTAAGTTTAGGATAAATGTATACATTTCCCACAGACTAACAGGCATACAACTGCCAGAATGAATGACCCCTACAACCCCAGCACTATGTCCTAAAATAGACTTTCTATGATGAGCCTGTGAAATATTATCTCTAATGAGAACCACAGAGACATGAACTATGAATTACATTGTAGTGTATTCAAGGTAGGCTAAACCTTTGAACAGATGTTTTCTTAACCCTTACAAACAGTTCATATCCAATGCCTTCACAGTATGGTCCGGGTCAAATTTGACCTGGTCCAAGAAAGTCCTCATAAAAAGTGTCTATACCATATTTTGAACTACAGATCTATTTAGAATATGTAAATAGCATATCTTACATTAATACATTCATTATTAATCCTTAATTTATGATTTTAGATAGCATGAGAGTGTATTTTTTAGGTTCTAGACTCGTTTTTGGAGAAAAAACAGCTATATCACACTATATCATGTCCTGTTTTACCTAAGACATGAAAACATAACAGCCATAATAATTTAAATGTATTTTATTGATAGTGAAACAGCAAGAACATTCTGGAACTGTTATAATATAACCACATAACTATCGCAACCATTGGACACTGTCCTTACTGCAATATCATTATATTAACAACAATATTAATTTAACATTAACATTCAAAACACAACACATAAAACATGTTTGTTGCAAACTAGTCAGTGCATTCAATGCAGTAGTAGGAAACTTTGCGTGTGTGGGACTTGCAAATGTGCTTCCCACATTTGCTGCAGGTTGTCCCTGTTTTGCAGTCCTTTTTGGAGAGCAGAGGTTTTGCATCTCCTTCTCTTTTGTCCCTTTGTGATGTCTTGTGTGACTTGATCAGGGCCAGTTATGATTTAGTTTAATTAAATATCTCCTATTAAGACACATATACAAATACCTGCTAGGAACAAAATGTGTTGAACACGTTTTCTCGGCAAAAATTTCACATTAAAATTCTTAGAAATGCATCTACTCATCCTACCTCAGATTATATGAGTATTCAAATTAATTTCATTTCTAAAGTTTTCCTGCTGGACACAAGATGTCTCCTACTTCACTGTAAAGTCCATTCTCAGTGTATGTACAAGTTGCATACTATTTATGATGCCACAAATCATGCTGGTAGGCCCCGCCTCTTAAAATCAGATTTTCAGTGAGCACAGAGAAACTTTCCCCTTTCAGCAGATGAAGGTAAAAAAACTCTGCACATACATCAATCATTCTGCACAGTGAAGATCAAACAGCACACTGTAGGAACAAGAAGAAAGATGATTTTTATTACTGGAGGGGGGCTTTAACATTATTGATACAGACATGAAAAGGGCATATTCTCATTAACTATATTAGTCCATTGCAAATAAATAAGCAGAATATATTCAATATATTGGAGCCTATCATTAGAAAACAGAAGGAGTTAATAAATAGCCAGCACCATGTTGACTTTAGGCAATGATGTTCCCTTATATCTACAGTCAGTGGATGTTCCTCATTGCGCTTCGGCTCTGTTCCTACCGGAAGCGGTGTATTGTGTGTGCGTGTAGCTTTACTGTCACCCACAGCTGTAGGTGGAGCGAAGGAGGCGACAGAACAGCTCTGTCAAGAACTTTTCAGAGTCCACACTGTCGCCTTTTGCAGCGTCGTTTAGCTGAAGAACAAAGTCCAGATAAACGGCGGTGTAGACGGAGAAACGTGAGTCGGACTCGGACACAGCCATGGACGGTGAGTGGAGCCAGATTTATGGTGCTCGGCCCGTTCACTCAGCCTGGAGAGGAGAGGTGAAACTGTACGGGGAGTTGTTTTGCGCACAGGGAAAGCCCCGCTAACATTTGGCATTTGCGCTAACAGGATGAGTGTTCCCGGACAGTAAGCTAACGTACAGTAGGAAGTTTGCCGTACTTTATTAAGCTGTCCCGGCGCTCACCGGGTCAACTTTGCTGTTAGGTTGCTTGTATTTCTCCCTGTGTGTAGCTAGCTCACCTGGCACGGGTGAACCAAACAGTGTCGAGCTGCCAAGAGGCCTGTTGGTTTAGTCCACCCATGGATTTCCATGTTGCGACCGAAATCTCGTTCAAAAACCACGCAATTTATGGGTCATCTGTTTATTTAGGGACATATGCGAGTTACGAATCACATTCTAAAAGTATGACTGTCATTGTGAATAACTTTTCTAGAGTTCGGTCAACATGTTACACAGCAGGTAGCTTTCGTTTCAATTAAATCTGTCCTGTTATAAATGCTCCGCGCAGCTCGCAACCGCCCACCTCAGTGTTGGCGAACGGAAATTATGGAAATAACACAGCTTACTTTCGCACGTTGTGGTGAAATACAAGCTGCTTAGTGGGACATGTGTATGCCGATGTGTAGAGTCACTTGTGACTATTTTAAAACTGCCAGTGTTTCTATTTTATATCACATTTACCTGTCCATGCAAGCTAAAGAACAGTATTAGCACGGTTCTATAATGGAGTTTTGGTACATTATTAGCTTTCATCATTATACGTTTCCAAATCACAGGCCTCCCAAAATAGACACTGTTACATACATGATATATCCATGTCTGTCATATGGAAGAAGACAGTGAAATTGATTATCAAAGATCAATATTATCACAAAATGTCAACAGTGTGTGACAAACAATAATAAAATCACCTGTAGAGGCAGTGAGGTCTTTGTTAGGGCAATTAGAGGAAAGTGACTCACAGCCTGTCTCGGATGCTTCAGTTGTGTTTTGATATAAGCCCATTCAGTGATCTCTGAAGGCCTAATTGGAAGGATGTGGTAGACACTTTCACTTTCACAATGCCAGACTCAATAAAGAGTTAACTCACATAATATAATGTTGAATCGTGTGGGGCTTGTTTCACCCTTTTCACATTCATCCCTTTCTGGACTAACGCTAAAAGACAAAGACGAATACCTTTCCCCTACATTCTGTACGTTTGGTCTGAGGCTGGGAAGCAGGCATGTTACAACTTGGGAAGTATCCTTTCCTAATTGAGCAAGTCCTACTAGCTGATGGGTGGAGCTTCGGCTACCTGATCCTCTGTCACACCTCGATTCCTTCCGTGAATCTCAACAATTCATTAACCGAGTACCTGAAACTAGAGTGCTGCCTTCTCTTCGCCCACAATGGAGGCTCTATGCTATAAGGCGGGTAATTTGACACCGACATTATTACACCCTGCCCGTCATTGTTTGCTTTATTCTGCACTTCTTCTTCTCTCCGAGCTTGGCAGGCAGTTTATGACGAGCAGTTATATTTAGCTGGGAAGCCCTTGTCTCTCAGCATCCTTTGACCTCTTTGGATGCTGAGCCGTCTTGTAGATTTCCACCCTGACCACACCGCAAATGACAAACTCTTGCTAAACCACAAATATGTGCTGAAAGCTGCTTTTGCTTTGTGTCACCCGTGCTGTAACCGTGTGTTTTGTGTCATGTACTGCAGATGGTAAACCACTAATCTCTCTAAGACTTTGACTAACAAGTGGTCCTTGCTTTCTCTCCACCATAGGTGTGTATGGATGGGGCCTGAACCCCCTCAACCCAGGTAAGAATCAGTTCCCGTAAGTAATCAGTGCGCTGCATAAATCAGCACTGATAGTGACTGCAGACTTTTCATGAGTAAACATTTCTGCACTCCGCGTACTGATGGTTGATGACGCAGCTGTTTCTGTGTTGACACACCGACTCAAGTGAAGCGGTGTCGACAGGGAGTGTTTCACAATCTGGATACTGTGTGTTTACCAAAACACTGCTTTTAAGTGGCATTGTTCTTCTCTCGTCCATCAGTCCAAACGGGGAACCCCTTCATAGAGATCATCGAGCAGCCGAAGCAGAGGGGGATGAGGTTCCGCTACAAGTGTGAGGGACGTTCAGCCGGCAGCATCCCCGGAGAGAAGAGCAACGACACCACTAAGACCCACCCAGCCATCAAGGTGAGCAGGATGCAGAGCATGGGGTCTGGCTGTGGTCCATTCAGTGCAGCTACAATTACATAATAGGCATAGGTACTTTGGTTTAAGTTCAGGTAAACATATTCTTTACCACTATACTACCACACTAATCAAATATAAATAAATCTGCTGACTATGGGGCGGATCAGGGCTGTATGCAACTAGAGAAACTTTAAGAACTTCTGATTTTTGATTTTTTTTTTCTGAACAGACCAAAAATAGGGAAATTGAGACATTAATAAATATATATATATAATTTTTTTTTTTTTCTTTTTTTTTGACATGTTTTGACAGTTGATTTTACAAGTATCCAGTATGGATAATGTAGTTTTTATGAGTATCATCAGAATAAAATGTGCCAATATCTGTTTTCTATTAAACAATAGATAAAGCAACTTTTATTTTAGAAAAACCTATTCTGTAAATAATTCTTATATTGTTGTGGTCAGAAACTCTGCTCTGAAGCTAAATTCTGACATTCTCTTCTTAAACAATAAAAATTCACTGGTTCCAGCTTCTAAAAAGTGAACCTTATCTGGTTCTGTCTGTCTTCTATGATAGTAACTGAATACCTTTGTGTCCTGTGCTGTTGGTTGGACAAAACAAGACATGTGAATACATCACCATGGGTTCTGAAAATTTGTAATGAAGACATTTTTAAATTCACTCTTTTGGTTGATATTTTATAAACCAAACGAAAATAAGCAATAAATTAATTGATCATGAAAATTAAGACTTTTTTCAGTTGTCATACTTTGGCAGAGGTCAAGAATGAAACAACAGACATCCACCCTTTGCCCTTTGGAATCATTGAAGTAAGACATATTCCTCCGACAGGTGCACAACTACAACGGCCCCCTGCGTGTTCGCATCTCGCTGGTGACGAAGAATCCACCGCACAAGCCGCACCCTCACGAGCTGGTTGGGAAAGACTGCAAGCATGGCTACTACGAGGCCGACCTGCAGGAGAGAAGAATACACAGGTAGGTGTGCACAAAAGACAAGGACATTCGACTCACATGCTTCAGAGGAACTTAGGGAAGTGATGCATCTGTCACAGCAGTGTTTAAAATGACACCGACAGAGCAGCCGGAATGAGTCCTAAAACCCAGAACTGAGTTAACATTTTTGCACTTCTGGTTCCCTCTTATTGAACTCAATCAGTTTTTTGAATTGATTTCAGGTTAGATGACTGAATTAAGGTCTGTGGTTAACACAAGCTTAAGAGATTTTCGCCTTTTGCCCAACAACACAAAATACATCAGTACATACCCCAGCTCTGAAGCTAACAAGTGGCTAAATGACACTACAGAGCTTACAGCCTTGTTGTGTGTATACTTGCAAACCATCTCATTGGCTTTTTGTCGAACGAACTGGGGCGATGCTGACTTCCAGGATGGCCTACAATAGAGACCTTCTTTGCAGCACTCTGTTAACTCGGAGGAAACTGCAGCTCCACTTCAAAACAAGGTGGAATTTGATAGAGATTGACCTAGATAAGGATGTGTTTACTGTCTCCTTGGTAAAACTAGTCAACGGCTGCATTGTGGGTTCGGAGATGAGCAAAACATTAAACTACCTAACGACTACTTGCTTGATTTGCTGTCTTTCACTGTCACAATCAAGAACTTCAAAAAAAGCAAAGTATTCTGGGTACTTTCACATGGATACAAGCTATTTTTAACTACATGATGTTTAAACCTGATATTGCATCATTCAACCAGGTTATCTGGCCAGACAGAGGGAAGTGTGTTTGTCAGTGTACCTTTTATCACCAGTGTGATGAAATTCAAACAATGTGTGCTGCCCTTCACTGCATTGTGATACAAAGTGTACTCGATATTAGTCATTTGTTTTTCACGTTAAAAGATTGGCATGGCATTGATAGCTGCATAGAAGCTCTACATTACAATCTGAGTTGTAAAGTCTGCTTGACCCAACAAACCAAAGTTAGACTAGAGTTATATGGTAGTTTATCTTCAGTTCTAGGCTGACAGGAGTCTAAATAACAAGATTTCTACTTGACATTATAGTAATAATGTGCATTATGAGGATGGGGCCTTTAAGTAAGAGAGAAAATGATTTTCTCAAAATATAAGTCCTTATTCTCAAGCTCTAACCTTAGTTTTATTTAAATATCACATAAAACGGATAATGAAAACTGATCAAATAAAATATCATATCATAACAAATGCTTTAGATATGTTCACTATGTAAAAAATATGAGGGAATAGGCAGAAAAGTGCAAATTATTGAAAGGCTGATTGATAAACATTCAGTTTAGTAAGATATTCTGGCATGGAGGCCAAAATGTGTAATAAAACTTTTTTCTTTTCTAAGATAACAGTAACAAATTGGAGTTTGAAAACAGGCCTCTGATCATTGCAGATAGAAGGAGCTAGGCCATGTTTTTGCAAACTGGCAGTGGAGACCGGTCAGGAATACAGCCAGGAAAGAGGGAGGCTTCCACTGATTAAATAACTGTGGTGGAAGTGGAAGGAGGATGGCACGGAATGTCTTTGAAGAAAAGGTCAAATGGTTCTCATTTAAAAAAAAAAAAGATAAGAATACTCATTACAAGAAGACTTTAAACACTTAACACTGGGTGTGTTTAAAGGTGATTACCAGTGTGCTAAAGCAGTGCTTATGGGCAGAAATTAAATCCAGTGTTAAGCTTTTACATTGTTTCCAAGTGTATTATATTATTGGAGGTCTAAAATATCTTCATCTATTGGTAGTGCACTTGAAGTCTAGTATTTTTCCACTTCCACTCCACTTTCATAAACTGTGCTCTCAACTTGTGATCAGTGACCCATAGTGATGATGTTTTATTAGTTTTAAATGGGGATTTTATGAGAACAAAAGTGCTCCATTAACCCCAGTTTTAATTTTCTTTGCACCTCCACATTGTGCAAATACTATACATACATACACCGTGTATAAACTGCATTGGTCCCTGAGTAATTTTTCACATAAAGAAAAAAAGAAAAAGAAAGTCATAAGGGTTTATAATATCAAATGTTGCTGCTATTACGAATGAGAAAGTACATGTATGATTTTGTGGTGTCTGTGTTTTAGTTTCAGTCTTAGACTGTATTTGCTTTCAGTTTTCAGAACCTAGGCATACAGTGTGTCAAGAAGAAGGATGTGAATGAGGCCATCACTTGCAGGCTGCAGACCAATAATAACCCCTTCAACAGTAAGTGGCCGTGCTTAAAACTGAGTGTACAACACAAAGCTGCTCATTGTGTGAAAAGTCGCAGTGCAGTGTGGAGACGGTCCCTAAATGTCAAAGTTTTACTGAACTAGAAGTTTAAATAGGCATAAAAATGTCCATTCTTTCAAAAAAAATTAGCACAAAAAATATATCGTTAGCTTGAATTAAGTAGCAAGGCTGAAAACTTAGCTTAAAAATGGCGGTTCTCATACAAGACAATGGTAACATACTGTAGCAGGATAGATGCTTTTTAGCTAATGTCAAGCTAGCTAGTGTAATGGATCGATTTTATGGAGAGAGTGATATCTTTACTCTATAACTGTGTCTGTCTGTCCTCCTATTTATACGTTTATAGGTTATTTTTCAACCTGTAGCCAGTTTAGCTTGTACCTTCGCTGCGCTAATAAGTTGTTAGCAAAAGCGGTGATAGCCATAGATACAGAAAGAAAGAAGTGACTCGATTTGACATGCGTCTGCGCAGCCGCCACATTGGGGAGGTCAAGATCTCGCTAGTGAGATTCAGGCTTCACTACAAAATCGAAAATGTGTCAATATCCATACTCATAGATATAGAAGTTTCTATTAAAAACAGGTTTTTGTATTCTTATGGTCAAACATTTAGCCCTGAAGCTCAATTCTGAGGCTGGTCTGTAAATAGTTTTATAATAAATATATCAACTTCTTAAGGTAAGGTCAGTACATGTACCACCACCTACTACCACAGCGGCCCGGGTTTTGATTTCTTCTCTCTCTCCCCCTTTCCTGTCTACCTTCGGCTTTCGCTTTCCATTTAAGTGATTAAAAACAAAATGCTTGTGACTAAAAAAATATTTGACTGATTACCAGCTGTTTACATTATGAGGCCCCAAAAAATCCTTAAAATACAGTCACAATAACAAGAGGAATCGAACTTTGTTACTTTCACCTCTGGCTGATATTAAAATACTGACAGCCTACATATGACAGGATGCAGTGTCTGCCAGACTGCTGTGTTGCCTGACTGTGCACCCCACCCTTTCCCTGCTGTGTCTTGGCTGCAGTTCCCGAGGCGAAGGTATGGGAGGAGGAGTTTGACCTGAATTCGGTCCGGCTTTGCTTCCAGGCCTCCATCACTCTGCCCACGGGGGAGCTGTTTCCTCTGGACCCTGTGGTTTCGCAGCCCATCTATGACAACAGTGAGAAGACAACACGCACACACACTTACATACACAGTATCCTGCAACCATAAACTCCCTCAGATACTCTTTGTTCCTCTTTCTATGTATTGTCTTTGTACATTTATGGTCAACCTGGATGTTTTTACAAGAATTAGTCTCTAGTAGTAAGAGTGAGTAAGTATATAATATATTACTTACATATACAAATACAAACAAAAAAGAAAAGAAAGAAAGATTTTTTGGCTGCCCAGGCATTATTGATATTGGTTTTGAGTCAGTCGTATCCCAGAGTCCTCTGCATCTAGAAGGTGTCTGATGTCTTACAGGGGCCCCAAACACGGCTGAGCTAAAGATCTGCCGAATCAACCGCAACTCTGGAAGCTGCAAAGGAGGGGATGAAATCTTTCTGCTATGTGACAAAGTGCAAAAAGGTACCATCTGCCTGTTCATCACACACTCTACTTTCACATCTGTCCATAAATAGAACTGAAAGCTGACTCAGCAGATAAAGCTCGATATAATGGCGGAAAACCTTTCACACCCACCAAGATGTGAGTGGGAGTTATTCTACTGACTGTACACTGGGTAGTGGGCTAGAAATAGAACCCTGACTTTCATAATGTTGCTTACTACATGTGATGATGTGATTACTGAGATGCTCATAGCTGCCCAGTGGGTTTCTGTTCATTCAGTGGAGATGATGAAATAGCTCAGTGGATTTAAACTGGAGGTTATTTAACACTATTGACTAAATAAAAGGGACATTTTTGAATCCAGTTGAAGTGTCAGTGTATTGGTTTGTTTAACTTTGCATTCGTTCTACTTGTGGCACAAGCTGGATTTTTGACAATTTAATTATGTTATTTATCTGTTCCTTTTTGCTAACTATTAAGACTGCTCACTTACTAACTAGCTAGTTTACACACGCTCAACACCTGCTGTTATGATGTCGCAGCTGCTCAGTAGGCTCGTTCGAGATGAACTGCGGATGAGATAAGGCGGTGGCAGCGGCGGCAGGAGGCGGTTACAGAGCTGTAGTCAGGTCGGACAGTTTCAAAGAATATACAGGAAGTCACAGATATGTTTACATCCTGTTAGATCATCTTGAGGCTACCTGTAGTTTGAAGACCACAAGCCAATTAGCTCTTTGATCAGGTGAAACCCAGCCGTTTCCCATCATGCCCTGGGCAGTTGGTGGAGAGCAACTGCAACATGCGCCTCGAACTCGTGAGGTTATTGTCGCCCATCTGTGCACGATGTCAGAGGAAGTCGGCATCAAGTTGGACACAAATCTAACCAGCATGCATTGTGCCTGGCTCATCTTAAATGAGCCCAATATGTTACTTGTTAGTACACGCAAAAGCCTCCATTTTTTACTTACCAGAAGGAATTGCCTGCTTTTACTTGCGGCCACAGGAGAATAAATCCCACAATCATAATTCACCTTAAATTGTCTGTTTAGGCATGTTTAGGCTTGAAGGTAAATGCTCATTTCTACTTTAAGTCACAGTTTTGAAACCCTCATTTAAGTGAGACTGTAACTTCTGAAAGATAAAATAACACATTTGTCCTCCCACAAACGGAAAATGTATTAAACCCCACGCTTACGCATGTAGCCTCACTTGGTCTGGTATGACCTACAGCTTATGGAAACTAGTATTAGCACAGTTTAGACCAGATTTATATTGGTTTGCCTTTTCAACATTTACATCCATTAAGGAGAGGATACATTACATACATACATACAAGACAACAAATTGAAGAATTATGATGACTTTGCACAACATCATTACATCTATTCACCACAGTAATCCCATTATAAATGTACATACATTTAGGTTCATGTAATGACATCAAAATAAATATAATAATAAATAGTGTAAAGGATACAGAAAAGAAAAGAAAAAACATTCAAAGTTAGACTGGTGTTTAATAGATCGTTACTGAGTCAGTGTGACTTTGACTATTGATTACTTGTGCCACTGTTACACTACATTTTACCATTTACTATTGTCATCATTGTCATAATTGATTTAGGAGAAATATAAAATGGAATGTGTCAAGGTGTGTCAGGTTCCTCTGTCACTATTAATCAAATGGTGTTGTGAAGTCTTTATATACTTTAAATTCTGGGGCACAGAATTTTTGTTTCCTTTCCAAGCAATTACTTTTATTTAAATTGTGGTCACTATGTTTAATACGTGTGGCTTTAGGGTGTTTTACTGACCACCGACAAAAAGCTCTAAAAACCCACTGTAGGAGAGTGACTATTGGATGCAACACGACTCCACATGAATGCTAATGTTAAGTGTGCTGGATGTGTAAACAGGAAACTGTTTGCTAACAAATCCACCATAACTTTATAATGTAATATTGGCAATGTTGTGTTTCCAGCTTGATCCTCTGGCCCCAAAAAAATGAATGCAGCTTGTGCATTTCAAAAACCTCTGCTCTCAGCTAACACGTCATGCATACCAGCAGTGTGAAGTTATATTTTTGGCCACCACCAGCGTTGCACGTTAGGTTTCGTTGCCTGTTGCATTGTCTGCTGTGTGTAATGCAATTCGTGCCTGCCACATCCGTATACTGGAGGTAAAAACATTTCTTCGCATTATCTCTTATTAATTAACACTATTTAAACATTTTAAATTAGTACTTTCCCTCAGTTATTTGTTATTTTATCATGGCAGGCGTACGTGCTGTACAACATGTGCTTTGTATTTTGGACATGGGGACACTCCCGTGAGGACTCCATGGCTCAACTTAAGCTACGATGCACATTACGTTAATGTGGAAAAAGCTCAAGGTCCTGATCTCTCTAGGAGAATGTCATATACTTATTTCCACATCAAGCAGAGCCATCACACTTTTACGTCAAACACCCCTTTAAGTCTGACTTCTGAATCTAATACTCTAAGATTAACATAATGAATAACTCTAAGTTGTCAAACTTTGTGTTGCATCCCAGCAAAAGTGATGTCTTTAGCTCTTGTACTTTGATGATGGCAAAGCACGCAGCTGGTTTTGCATCGCCACTGTAAAGGAAAATACCTCTGTATGACCAATGTCCATCCTCATCTCCTTACGTTTCCCCATTTTCTGACCCCCTGCAGAGGACATCGAGGTGCGTTTCTTCCAGGACTCCTGGGAGGGAAAGGGCTCTTTCTCCCAGGCTGATGTCCACAGACAGGTGGCCATTGTGTTCCGCACACCGCCGTACCGCGACACTAACCTCTCTGCGCCCATTAGTGTCAAGATGCAGCTCCGCCGGCCCTCTGACCGTGAAGTCAGCGAGCCGGTGGACTTCCACTACCTGCCTGTCGACCCAGGTGAGAGGCAATGTTTTCATATGGAATCACATCACATAAGTTACCGATGACCGCTTTTCCTCTGAATATTTAACAGTCTCAAAGTAACTGAAAGTCTCATAACTGCTTTTTAAAAATGACCTCCTGTAGATGAATACAGGCTGAGTGAGAAGAGAAAGCGTACAGGGGACATGTTCCAGAGCCTGAAGCTGGGGCCCATGCTGTCTAGTGGTACGTTGATGAGAATTTTTTCTCTGCTCGATATATAATGATGTAATAGTGATTTCTTTTGTATGTAATATAATCACATCTGTCTGATTTTTAGTGTCCATTCCACAAGATAGACGGCACATAAGCCCAGCAAGGAGAACAGCCACAGCCAAGCCTCCATCAATGAACGCACAAGCTGGTGAGTCTTCATGTTACACACTGATGATTCTGTTCATTCGCTGCAGAGATTGGCTGTGATTCTAATAGAATTAAAAGTCAATGAATAGATGAGTCAATCGGCAACAATTTTGATAATGGATTCAGTCAGTTATCAAGCAGAAATGTTACATATTGTCTGGTTTCGGCTTCAATGACAAATGGATTGTAGAATATTTGTCAAAATAGTCCTCAAAGCTGGCGCCCAAATAGCTCACCGGTAGAGCTGGCGGACCATGTACCAAGGTTTGAATCCGACCTGCGGCCCCTTGCTGCAATGCTGCACTAATGATAATGTAAATGTACTGGAAATCTGAGATTTGGTTTTCACCTCTTTTTCCACCCCCTGTCTTAAAGACAGTGAATCTATGTAGCAACAGCGTTTATTTAGGAACACGCATAAACAGATGATTTGTATGTACATTTCTGCTGAAAGATTTCCAGCAGTGGAACTCACATTGCTTTTTGTGTTTGTCTCCAGCGGCTGTAGTGCCCCCTGGTGCCAGTGGAGCGAAACCCCAGCCCTCCTACCCCTACAATCAGCAAAGCCAGCTGTTCTCAGTGCAGCCCAAGGTAGAGTCCTCCCCCTCCAACTCTGCTGCAACCACAAACCAAACATGGAGGATCATGGAGAGCCTGAACCTGAGCTCCCAGCCCAAAGCCACTCCAGTGTCCCACTTCACAATGAGCCAGGTATCCTCCTCCTCCTCCTCCGCCACCACTGCCCCTGTCAACTCGGACTACTCAACCGTCAACCTGTCAGATCTTCATGAATTCTTCCCCAACATTTCCTCAGCCATGGCCCAGGAGCCGGCAGCCTCCCAGGGAAGCATGGCCTCCTCGCAGACCAGCAGCTCCTTCACCCTCCAGGCCTCTCAGTTCCGGGTGGACCCACCACTGGTTGACGATGACATCCCTGAGTTCCCTAGCTTTTCCGAAGCCCAGGCCCCAGGCGCTCTGGACAACCTAAACATGGATGACTTTGAGGACCTTCTGAACCCCACCCTCATGAACGAGAGTGGAAACGGCACCTCAATGTTGGCTCAAGCTTCCTGCCAGCAAGCTCCCAGCTCCTCTTTTGCTGCCCAGAACACTGCAGCATCCCAGAACACTTCTGACCCTGCCAGCAACCCAGGAAGCACCTGGATGAATTATCCCAACAGCATTGTCAACTTGCTCCAGAATGAGGTCATGAATGACATTGCACCCAACAGCAACCATCGGCCCGCTGTGCTGGATGAGCTCGACGAGCTGATGTCTGCCGACGAGGATCGTCTTATTTCCATTTTTAACAGCGGAAACCAAGCTAGGTTTGTGTCAGGACACCCAACTTAAGTTTGTGCATGTGATTTTATTATGGACATATTTACAAAGACCACTTGAGTCTGCTCCTTTAGCCTTCAGAACTACAACTCCTTTGTTGTTACTAAAGACAAAAAAAGGACACAAGGTGGATATGAAGTGCTGTAAGAGACAGAATGTAGCAAGACTGCTCCCTGTGAACATGAAATCCCAGCAAAGACTCTTTATGCTATTCAGTTCGCGGGGTTTGCCATCAGGCCTCATTTATACCGCTTGTCCAACAAACAATAAACCACAAGGCCGATGATCCGATTTCACCGCCCTTGTTGAGAATCAATGATTAACTTTTTCAGCCACTGTGTCAACCTGATGTTAGATTATCCACTAACAAATGTTTGTTTTATGAAGACAATTAGATCAGATGCATGTTTTCCTGTTGAGGTCATTGTCTGTGAAACATGTTAAGCATGTTGAACAGTTTGGTAGCTCTGGTCAATGCTACTGAAGTCTTTAAATGAATCGTTTGGTTTAAACAAAGTGGCTGGTATTTTCAAAGAATTTAATCAGTCAATGCAAATTATGTTCGTCATTGTTCTTTTCATTAAATATCCCGGTGTGTTTGGAGATTAGAATGTTGTCTGAAGGTCAGCAGGAACTGTAACAGCTTCCACATACCGGTGCCTTTGTTGAGTCGCAACAAAATGTAATGTGTTTAGAGCCAAATGAAGGTGTGTATGTAAATAATTATCAAACAAGCAACATTAATTAAGTACATGCTTATAGCAGTGAAGCTGTATCAGATCGGGTTTTTTGTGTCTGGCAATATAATTTCCTCTGGTCTCTAATCAGTTTTTCTACAGTTGTTTTATGAATAATCGCTGTAGTTTAACTCTTTTCAGACCTTCAGGTTAACTTGCTATACTCTGTAGTAAAACATGCTTTATTGACATGAAATTATGCCGTTTTATCCCAGTATGATGTAAGCAGATTATACTATATGCCTTTTTTTGCTGTAATGAATAATTAATTCTGTCAAAATTCCAAAACACTTTTCTTGGCAATAAAAACCACAACATACTAAGATGATCTGGTCTTCAAAAGTAGACTTTATTTGGCAACTCTGTTATCGTGGTTCAATACAAACCAAAAATATAAAGCCAAATAAATGAGACAAATGTATCGTGTAAAAAAAGAAACTTCATTGGAGCACGTGCATACAAATCAAGGATTTCTACAACCATCTTGTCAGGTAAGTGTTAGTGTCTAATAAACAAAACCTCAAGAATACAAATACTCTTACTTATGAATACAATATATTCAATACAAAAAAAAAGAGACAGTAATTCAGGTCACTTAGAAAATATTACAGCATGAGAATACGAGAGCGAAATGAGAGATTTAGTGCTTGTTTTTGACAAAAGGAAGAACTTGAGATCAAAATTCAACCACTGACTCAAAACGGTTTCAGTCAGCGAGCTGTACTGCACACCCCGACTCCTGGCATTACAAAGTGCCTCTTCATTTACCCATGCTGCAACACTATCCTCTTGTTCTCACAGGCTTATGTTACTTCAAGATTGGTGACTTTGTTGATGATGTGGGAACGCCTGGGTACGCACTCCAGGTCAAACTTGCTCTCGTATATGGTGGGGCAAATCTTCCAGCGGTTGTTTCGGTAGATTCCCAGGTATGTGTACACATCGGGCTTGTAGGAAAGAGCGCATTTGACCCCGGTGGCACGGATGACTGAGTCGAGCCTTATAACCTCGCTCTCGTCAGTGAAGTTCTGGTTGTAGGCACAAATGACCTGCTTGCCCTCTCCCTTGGGATTATGGGGACTGACTTTAACAAGGGAGATCTTCCCATCCAGGGCTGCTCTTGCCACACACTCCCAGGCATGGTCCAACTTGAAACCAGAGTCCAAATGCATCAGCCATTTGCCCGTGAGCACTGCGTGGTTCAGGGCCAACTCCTTCACTGTCTGGAAGCTGACAGGCCGGCCACTTGCCAAAAGTTTCTCCCAGCTCTCCTGGAGACCCGTGACATCCGCACCGCTGGGGCAGTGGCTTGTGCCCAGCACAGCTATCCACCCCACAGGGCTAACGCCACCTTTCTCATCACCAAATCTGTGCACTTGTGATGGCCTGTTGCTCTCCAGCCAGCCATCAAACTCGGATCTGGGAGTTCTTCTCGAGTCAAACACAATCCAGGGGTCCATGTCTGCAGCCATGGCCTCAGCTGCATAGCTCTCTGCAGCAAAGGGGGTCTCCGTCTCTGCATCCACAGGGGCCTCTTCCTCCTCCATAATGCTGTCAGTGTGCGGCTGTTAACGGGTCCTGGAGTATCCTGTTGAAAGGAGGAAGGTGTTGTGTTATTTGATATTGCTGTTTAGAGCCCCAGACAGACGTGGACAGCTGGATTGCTTGCGGGTGTTTACTAATGCTGCTAGCTAGCCTGCTACGTTAGCAGCACTTGTTCAATAGCTAACGTTTGTCCGCCTGCCGAGTCTTTCACAAACATAAGCTTTGATGTGCATTTCGCTTCTGTGTCGTCTTTAGGTAACATTCAGCGAAACACGAAGCTCCAATCACATATCGGAAGGTTTTTAACTGCTTGCCTCCAGTTTTGTTGTCGCTAACTAGCCGACTAGCTAGCCATTTTACCAATCGTCTATGTTCAGCTTCTTGACAAATTTGGAGAATTATTATTTACGGCCAGCTGTTGCCCACAGTTAAGGTTAAAGCATGCATCGTTTGCATGTGGACAAGAGGAATTATCGCACATTGGTCTCAAACAGTGGACTTTCGGGCTGAACCGACCTGCAGATGTTGAAGTTTGTTGTCCCGTGTTCTTCCGCACAAGCGCAGCCACACGGCGGGTCGCTGCTGTGACAAACTCCGCTCACACGTCTCACACTTTCACTATGTTGCCTTGCCTCACGACTAAATCATGTACCCCGGAATTTACTTATTCTTTCGATGAATGCGGCGCACAAATAAAGCAGTGAAGCTGCGTTTTAATCAACAAATACAATACAGATGCTGCTGTAGCCCGAGGTGTATGTATTAAAGCATCGTAAGTTAACGTAAAGTTACTGAATTGAATTACTTATCCAACAACTCTTCAGTGACAAATACCAGATTCTTCCGGGTGTGTTTATCCGCAAATACGCAAACACGCGTTCATTTGATAGTTTTAGTGTACATATCAAATAATCTTACATTATTAGCTGAAAGTTAACGCAATGTGTACATTATATTCCTGTACAAGTTGCGGGGCGCCGTGGTGCTTCAACCTAACGGCGCTATGACCCTGCGGAACCAAGCTGACCCGCCAGGCAACCGGGGACGAGTGACGACGACGTGCTAACGAGTTAGCCGGCTAGCTACTGCTATCTAGTGTGTGCGCGGTGGAGGTGATTTATACATGATATAGAATAATACTCCACAATATATTGCGTTTTATTTTAGGTGAGCCATCCAGGTCATATAATAATGCCCAGCAAAAAGAAGAAATACAACGCCAGATTCCCTCCGGTAAGTTTGAGCTTTACTGAACCGGTGTGAAGACTAGCTGGTGTTAGCACACTGTGAGGGAGAGCTAACTTGTTTGGTTAGCTTAAATGGGATCGGCCTGTTTTGTTGCCCAAAGAGCTAACGAGCTAACTAGCAAACGCTCGCTATGTATCAGTTAAATGTAAATGACACTAGTACCGTACCAGCGTCGTTGGTTTCACTGAGTTAACTAACTTCACGTGTCTTTGCACCCCAGTGTTTGCTAAGATAACGTTACATTAGAGGCGGCTAGCGAGCCCATCAGTTACCGTTGTTTTTAGCATGACAAGCTAAGTGAAACTAAACGTTAGAAATCTGTGCAAATCTGCTATTTCTAGCTGCATTATAGCAAACTTTTGAGTTGTTCGCAGCGGACACGCTACAGGAAATCTGTTCAACACGACGGGAACGAATAGTTTTAAACATGCCTGTTATGAAAGTCGTTTTTATCATGATGAAATGTGTGTCACTGCATTTTGATAAGATTCCAGTTCACAGGCTTTTCGTTTTGATACACAGAAAGCTAGCTTTAAGAGTGTTTATAATAAATAAAAACATGATAACACTTTATAGTGTCAATGTATTCACATGCACTGACTTGTGCTCACCTTCACCTTTTCTCATTACAGGCGAGGATTAAGAAGATTATGCAGACAGATGAAGAAATAGGCAAAGTGGCTGCAGCAGTACCTGTTATTATATGTATCCTTCCTGCCAAATATCTTCACTGTGCAAGGTCCAAAGGTCTGAATGCACAGAATGATGTTCAGTCTATCTAAACTGTAATGTTAATTTAGACAGGGGACTTCAAACTAATGGTCTGCCTTGGAGCTATATGAAAATGTTCAGCTTTCTCTGAGTTTAAAGTCGCTGTAAGCTGAACATCTGTGGGTTTTGGACTGCTGGCCAGACAAAAAAAAGACATTTGAAAAAGTCACTTTGGACTCTGGGAACTTGTGATGGG